CTGACTCAGATTTGGTTCTCCATACTGCTGCATCTCATTAGGAGGTAAACTAGGTTGACTGCTCAATGGAAGGTTCACACGTTTTGGTCTAAGTTGGATTCCGTCTTGAGCTTTTAATGAAATTAACACTTGTTTCTCTTTTGCAGGCCCATCAATACACGCATAGATAAAGGATGCCGTAAGCATGGGAACAAAATGGTCAGCAGAAACTCCTGTCTCGGCATTGCCCGTCTGTAGGTTCAAATGTATTGGGTGAAGTGTTACTGTTAGAGGATCTTTAGGAGGTGGTACCAGGATTAAATCTGAGTTGCCATGCCTACAACTCTGGTATGTTGTTTCTTGGCCATTGTTGTATCCTTCTTATATCGAGTTCTTGCGGTCAATGGCCTATTGGATAGTGAGTCTCTGACATGGTTTTATCACTGCAGCTCGCGTATACGACGGTCATCGCTCCAACCGCCTCCGAAGTAAACAGAATTGTACAACAGCTGTGGTAATTTGTGGAGTTCTAGGTACCGGCTCTGAAGAGTTGCGAAAGGCTGCCACGGAATTTGTTTTCCTGTGTTGATTATGCGGGTGGTTTCTTTCCGAGCGTTGGGAATGTCGAGCTCAGCAAGCTCATGGATCAACCAATGACAGTGAGTTCACTTTTCCGATTTTCTTTACAAAATTTAGCAGAAATTGGTTTGTAGTTGTGATGGTTTATTGCGTAAACATTAGGTAATTAATATTCTCACGATTAATGCTCCAATTATTTTCAGGCGATGAGGTGGTGTTAAGCACGGTAACCAAACGAGTCGAACGGTTCAAACGGCATGAAGGCTAACCAAAATGTGGATGTGTTTGCAGAGCAACCTAAGCAAAGTGCAAGAACTGGTTGCCATGGAGTTGGAAATGCTGCTGTGATAGTTTATTTTGCACTTTGCAGGGATCATGTTGGCTAGTCTTCTTCCAAGAACATGCTTTAAGTTTCTGCCTCCTTCTATTGTATCCGTGACGTTATGATAAGTAGTAACATTCATTCGATCGCCAAGTACTCTTATCCAAGAAAAGCAACACCTTCTCTCATCCATGGTCGACACCTCGTATCAGCTAGCTGCAGCCATGATTCATCAAGTTCGTTATCATGTCGGCGGCGTTGCAAATTGGACCCTTGCAAGAGGATTCTTTAAAGTTATAATTTTGTGTTCCGATGTAATATGTACTTGGTTTAATTTGTCTTTTGGCATTTGTGTTGAGCTTATTTTGTGAAACTCTGGGACCCAATCAATGTGCCAGTTTCTTTCCAATGGAGACAGCTTAAGTGTAATTACGTCGACTTTTATAGAAGTATAGTGTAATTCCTTCATTGTAATCACAATTTTATTGCCTTCGCAAATGTGTTGAGATTTTGAGGTTCATGAAATTATTGCGAATTGCTTGTAAGATATTGACTCCCGCACACACACCTCTTATGAAAAAACGGAAACTCTTTGGTCTTGAAAGACAAAGTTTGGTGGTCTCAAAGTTGTGTCAAGGAATTAATCTTATAATTGAACCATTATAGCAAAATCACAAATCCAACTTATGATCCTTGAGAGAAAATTGTCCTTGTAAGGTAACTTTGTATTGAATTGTTGATTGGCATGGAATCCTTCGAGTAAGTTTTGAATAACGAACATTCCATTTGTGAAAGAGTTTGAACTGGAACCTTAAAGCATGAACTCCCCTTTAACCCTTGATGAAAATAAGGATGGATCTTGAGAATCATAAATCATGAATCATGAGTTTGGTTATTATGTGATTCCCTTTTGCGTAGCCTGCGTCTTTACTTCAAAGTATGCGATAATTTAGTAGTATGAGCTTGAATATGATGAATTCCCCATAAGGTCCAACTCTTTACACATAAATCCAGACTGCCTTTAATTTCAGAGCCAGATAAAAGCCATTGAGTTCAAATCAGCTTGCGAACTTGTTGTAAACTTCGATAAAGCTTGGTTCAAGATTGGATAAACCACATGAGAATTTTCTTGAACCTGCCACCGGTTGGTTAATACACATGCACGAGCTGGTTAGCCATAATAAACATACGTACAACAGTAAAAGATAATACACAAAAAAATGCACTATGGAGGTGGGATCTTAAGGTCAAAAATTAGGGTGCAACAACAGGCACATAAGTTATGGATACAAAGTGATGAGAAATGTTATGGTAAGTTTCAAGTCTAAACATAATTATAAATATTGAGTTATAAGCGTTCAATATGGTAATCTTCATCACTATATTTACAATGTTACAACATTTTCCAAGGGAAGTTACAAAGAATATCTTAGGACAGAACCAAAAGGAAATAGAGCTTGTTGATGCAGACACAGGGAGGCTTTACCATGCGAATGTCATTCTGCAAGGCGTAACCAAAATGTTGTGAAGGCAGAAAAGTTCATTGGCCGCGGTGGTATTAGTTTGCAAAGCACATAAAGCTTAGGAGGGGTGACATGCTTCACTTTAACATAACTATTTCAGCTCATCACCTTTATGTGGCTATTGTGAACCGTTGAATGCACGGCATTAGGCGTTGTGATGATGAAAGTGTTGATGACAGTAGTTAATGATATTGTATGAACGTCATAGGATGGCATGGTTTATTTGAGTTGTATTTTGAAAAGTTAGTGGTAGTTTGATGGTAATTTAATTAGTGGTTTGTGTAGTTATGTATAAGTATGTCTGACTGAGTAGCTTATGTAAAAACAGTGATGTGTTCCAGTTTGTTATGGTTATGATATTTTGGTACTTAAAGAATGTTGTTATTTCATATGTTATTGTGTGTGGCTTTTAATGAGAGATGAACATGAATGTATAAAATAAGAACCTGGTAGTAAAAGTCAGACAGGATATAGGGAGATAAAAAAAGGAGAATATAATGCCTTTATAGTAAGATAGAGATAAATTGTTTTGCAACGTGAAGAAAAAATATGTATGGTTTAAGTTATTTACATTAAAGTTGTGAATTAAATAATTGAAGGTTAGTTAAGAGGAAGAAAAAATAAAAATAAATATGTGAGTAGTGAGAAATGTGTAATAATACATTAAGATTTTCCAATAGTTCAACGTGATATTAAAGAATAAGCAAACAATAAAACAGAACGTGCTGACTACATAGATGGTGGCGTACAAAAGAAATCACGTACAGGACCCAAAAATATCCCAAAATATTGGATCCTTGTGTATTTCCTCGATGTTGTGGTTGGCCAAAAAAATATAGAATGAAGACAATGTTATACCATACAAATCCAGTACTATGTAATGGAGAAAAATGAGATAGAAAAGCTAATTTCCCATGTATGAGGAATGTTGTTATAAAATATAAAAAAGGAATTACATTTAAAATAATAACTTCATGGCCATATAGGTAATAAGAACACTAAGAAAGAGATGGGTAAAGAAATGGATGGTATTACAGAAAGAAAAATAGGTCGCATGATGTGAAAAAGCAAATATAAGTACTGGCTATATGTTGCTGAAAACTTCTTTGTAGAAGACTTTGGTTTGTTATTTTCGTCATGAATCAAGATCTTGATACCCTTTTTGCTAGTTACCCTCAAGATTGTGATGTATATTTGACCATGGTTGAAGAGATCTTTTGGGATATAGTGACCTATCCAATCCAATGAATTCCTTTGGGATTTGTTAATTGTCATGGTGTACGATACAATGATTGGAAACTGTCTCCTGTTTAGCTTTAAAGGTCAAGGTAATTGGGACGGGGACATATGTATTCGTGGAATGTATATGAATTTTCCGTGGCCTTTTCCAACCATAATTTCAGCCTCAAGAATGTGGTTAGCCATTTTCGTAATAATTAGTCGTGTTCTGTTGCACAAATCTTCAGCTTGATCGATATATCTCACAAGCATGATTGACGTCTCTATCTTTAACTTAATATGGTGGTTCGACAAGCCAGATGTCCTTAGAGGACTTAGGAATTTCAGAGTCAGGACTTCCATAGTGCTATTATCATGAATTTCATATTGATCAATCGAGTTAGAGCTATAATAATCCTTGGTATCACCTACGAAATGTAAAGAAACAACCAACAAATATACTCCCCAAAGAAATTATCAGTAATGCGGGAAAATGAATGAAATGAAGTAACATAATATAGAAAAGTGAATGTAAAACTACCTGACATCATATTTAGAACATGATTATTAATTTTGTCAACCACCTCAATAGTTGATGCCAATATTGCGCGACTTTTCAAGTAATCGTAAGACGTATAAGATTACATGAATGAAGGATATGTGCTTTCCACAATTGCAACAAAAGGCTCATCAATTTTTTAATAAGGATCTCCGGTGGAATTTCAATATCGGCATATCCATCATTAGGTTCAGATATCCTACCTTCACCTAATTTTAATAGCCATTTTGAAAATTCAGCAATTTCAAGCGATTCTTGAGTAGATTGTCCACAGTGTAGTCTCATATTTTGTGTCAATGTTAATACCTGACATGAATCCCAAATGTATGACGCGTTGATGGCTGTGTGAACAATATCGAATCTAGTCCCTCTTGGAATGACGGGAAAAATTTTCTTGAAATCTCCACCAAAAACTACGACCTTACCTCCGAAAACGACGTCGGAATTCCCATGCTTAATCATGACATCCTTTAAAGTTTTGTCAAGAGCCTCAAAGCAGAATTTGCTTTCCATCGGGTCTCATCCCAAATTATCAACTTTGTTTACCGGAGCAGTTCAGCATGGCCATCACCAAAGTCAATCTTGCACGTTGAATTTTCAATCGTCGGGACAAGTATTTTAAACTTTGAATGGGCAGTTCTTCCACCAGGCAGTAAAAGCTAAGCAATCCCACTTGATGCAATAGTTAATACAATTTCGATATCAAAGCAGTTGCAAGTGTTTTCCATATATATTTTTTCTCGGTACCGCCATATCCATGCAAGAAAAACACTCCACCTTTTTGTTGTGTAACAACCAGCATGGTTTTGTCAAAGATTTTTCACTGTTCATCTAAAAAACAATAAGATGTGACATGCTATTTAATAGGGTTGTAAGAGAAAACTAAAAGTAGGAAGCTTAACTATTTAGTTACCTGTAAGTGCATTGAAAAGACTAGTGAACTCCGTTTTCATAACAGAGATATCATAACTTCTCTCTTCATATATAAGTCTGTTACCAAGTTGTTGAAGTACATAACCATTAGGGTATGGAATTGGCTTAAAGTCAACAAGACTCCTACGGTTTTCTTGAAACAAGCCTTCAATCTCAAGCAATGTCAAAATTTTCAAGTCATCTTCCTGCAACTGCAGTTCTAGAAAAGCATTACCAGAGTTGTTAAATGATTTGAAACGTTATTCTTAGCAGGTACGTTAGGTGATTTAAAATAATGTTGAAGCCAAGAATGGTGAGAATAGTTGACAAACCTTGGTTGTTAGCAAGTTGTCTCTGTGCGTACAAGATACCATCCGATAAAAAGGACCAAGTTTCATTCCAAACATGACCAGGTCTGTTTATAGTCCTAGACAGCAGCATCACAACAAATGACTTCCTCAGAAAATGTCCACATCCCCATAATAATAGATAAGAATAAGTTGTTCCAATAATTAAGTGTAACCAACCATTCCTATTACTATGCATATGAGTTGGTATAGTTTGAATTATTCATTGCTTAATACTAGGAATCACCAATAGGGTTTCCTTAGGATTAGGAATTAGTTATACACTCAAGTATTATTTGTATCTATAAATAATCAGCACTTATGGCTGGAATAATATATAAAAGAATCATTCCCTTTATGGTATCAGAGCGTAAAGCTTAAAATCAATTTTTTTTCCCGATCCGTGTTATGCCTTTTGCACCTGAACCAATGCCCACTATGTCATCACCAGTCGACAAACTGATTGTCTTGAATGGTGGTTCTCAACTCTCCATTAAACTTGGTGGAGAAAATTATCCTGCCTAGAGAATTCAATTCATGGCTCTTTTAACAGGCTATGATCTTCTAGGTTATATTGATGGAACTAAGCCTTGTCCATCAAAACAGCTCGCAAACGATACCGCCGCTGTCAATCCAGCCTTCACGAATTGGGTTCGACAAGATCAACTCATTCTACATGGTATTGTATCTTCGGTGGCTGCAATAGTGGTAACACACTTAGGAAATGTCAAAAGTTCCAATCAAGCATGGGAGATCCTTAAAACCATGTATGCGGGCCACTCAAGAGTGCGGATTATTGCGCTCAAACAACGGATTTCCAATTTCAAAAAAGGAAATCAATCGATGGCTACATATCTACAAGGGATAAAGGCAATTTCGGATGAACTCTCAATCATTGATCATCCCCTTGACGAAAATGATCTTGTTATTCACACTCTCAATGGTTTGAGTGTTGAGTATCGTGAAATTTCTGCTGCACTTAAAAGCAGAGAAAGTCATGTTGCATTTGCTGAACTTCATGAAAAACTGATGGATTTTGAAACAATTCATCATCAAGCTGATCCACTTGCAGTTGACAATGTGATTGCCACTGCCAATGCAGCCACAAGAACAAAAAACTATCACCACAAAAACAACAATAACCGCAACCCTTCACCAACTTTGCAGAATGGCGAAAATAAGGTGGTTTGTCAGTTTTGCGACAAAGCAGGTCACACTGCTAAGGTTTGCTACAGGATTAAGGGATTTCCTAAACGAAACGGCCCTAAACCAACATCGAACTTTGCTCAAAATCAGGCCGCAACACAACATGGTAACTGGGTCATGGATACATGAGCATCTCATCATATTGCTCAGGACCTACAACAACTTACCTTAACAAATTCCTATCCTGGAGACATTCGGGTGATTGTTGGTGATGGAACAGGTTTGAAAATTACTCACACTGGTAACTCTGTTATTAATACTTCTGTCAAACCTCTTCATCTTAAACAAGTCTTATGTGTTCCTAAAATTCAATCTAACCTTTTGTCTGTCTCCAAGTTATGTCAATCTAATAGTTGTTCTGTTGAATTTTTTGCAAATCATTTTGTTGTCAAGGACTTGACCTCGGGTCAACCACTGCTTCAAGGACCACTTAAACATGATATTTATCATCTATCCAATGCATTTCGTTCATCCAGTCCACCGCAAGCATTGCATACAAGCATTCATTCTACATCTACATGGCATCATAAATTAGAACATCCTTCTTTTAAAATAATAAAGCATCTGACTGAAAATCATCATCTACTAATAAAGCTTCCGGCCTCACATGAGTGTACTTCTTGTCACTGTGCAAAAAGCCACAAGCTTCCTTTTTCAAATCATCATCTCACAAGCAGCAAACCTTTGGAACTTTTGTACTTTGATGTTTGGGGCCCAACTCCTGTTAGATCAGTAGATGGTTTCTTATATTATTTTATCATTATTGATCATTTTTCCAAATATGTCTTGTTGTACCCAATGAAACATAAGTCAGATGTCTTCTCTATTTTTGTTCAATTCAAGTCCATTGTTGAAAAATCCTTTAATTTTCCGATTGTTTCTCTTTTCATTGATAACAGTGGAGAATTCATCAAATTAAAATATTTTCTTGCCAATAATGGCATTTCTAATTTAACTTCACCACCTCACACACCTGAGGTAAATGGCACAGTAGAGTGGAGACACAGACATGTTGTTGAAACGGGTCGTGCTCTTTTGCATCATGCTAATTTACCCTCCCAACCATGGTCATTTGATTTCACCACTGCTGTGTATCTTATTAACAGGATGCCTAAACCAATCATTAATATGATATCTCCCTTTGAAATATTGTTTAAAAGCAAACCAGCTTATCATACAATTCATTCATTTGGTTGTTTGTGCTTTCCTTGGCTGAAACCATATATGCAAAATAAGCTCCAACCCAGGTCTAAACCTTGCATCTTCCTAGGCTATTCAATGTCTCAGTATGCATATTTTTGTCTTGAACCTGTGTCAAATAGGATATATGTATCTAGACATGTCCACTTTGTGGAAAACTCATTCCTCTATCAATCGCTAATTAATTCGTCATCTACTTGTCCTCCAATTCCATCACATGACTCTTCAGTACACAATATTATTCATGTTACCCAAGATCAAATCCAGCTCAGGAACCAAACCAGTCCCTAGCACATGAGTCATCCACCCCTGAGCCATCAGTCCCGGTATCGAGTCTCACAATAGATCCGGTATCAAGTCCTCCACCAGTCCCTGAGTCAATGCAACCTATCGAGTCATCTATAACAACAGAGATACCAGTGACTAGTGATAACTTAACAAGCTCTATCACCAACACTGCATCTGATCCAGTTCCAACTTCAACGACAAATAATCCGGTTCAACGTGCTCCTATCATGACAAGGTCACAAAATAATATATTCAAACCCAAGAAACTATTTATTGCCTCTAAACATGACTTGCAGGAAAATCTTGAGCCATATACTATTACTCAAGCACTTAAAATACCACATTGGAGAGATGCTTGTTCGACTGAATTTAATGCACTCATGAATAATGGTACTTGGACCTTGGTTCCCCGTCAGGCTCATACTAATTTAGTTGGCTGTAAATGGTTGTTTCGCATCAAAAGAAATCCTGATGGGAGTGTGGCACAATATAAAGCAAGGTTGGTTGCAAAAAGATTCACTCAAACACCTGGTCTTGATTTTAAGGAAACATTCGCACCGGTTGTGAAACCTCAAACTATTAAAGTGGTTCTCACTTTAGCACTTTCTCAAGGGTGGTCCTTACACCAAATGGATGTTAATAATGCCTTTTTGCAAGGAAAATTGACTGAAGATGTCTACATGCAACAACCACCCGGGTTTATTCATTCTGAATTTCCTCAACATGTATGTAAACTCAAGAAGGCTATCTATGGCTTACGACAAGCACCTCGAGCATGGCATGATTCTATCAAGGCCTTTGTTCTTTCTACTGGGTTTCAAACAAGCCTAAGTGATTCATCCTTGTTTATTTACAATAAACATGGTGTACAAGCTTTCTTATTAGTATATGTTGATGACTTGCTTTTGACGGGCAGTGATACTACCTTTTTAACTCACTTCATGACAGAACTTTCCAACAAGTTTTTGCTCAAACAACTTGGTTTCCCTCATTATTTTCTTGGCATTGAAATGATCCCAACCAATGAGGGTATGTTATTATCTCAACATGGTTATATTCGAGAACTCTTGGATAAGTTCAATATGGCTGGAGCAAAGACCGTTAGCACACCATTATGTATGACTACTCCTCTCAAACTAAATGATGGATCAGCCGCTGCCGACTCAAAGCTATTCCGTAGTATCATTGGTGCATTGCAATACGTTACTTTGACAAGGCCAGATCTGTCCTTTACAATTAATAAATTGTCACAATTCATGCATCAACCAACACAACTGCATCTCCAGCAGCTCAAGCGAGTATTACGGTATCTAAAACATACTATTAATCACGCTTTGCGGCTAGCAAAACCACTTCATCTCAAACTGCAAGCCTTCACCGATGCTGATTGGGGAGGTAATTACGATGACAAAACATCTACTTCCGCTTACATAATTTACTTTGGAGGAAATCTCGTTTCATGGTTATCAAAAAGACAGAGAACAGTTGCAAGATCTTCCACAGAAGCCGAATACCGATATGCTGCCAATACTACAGCTGAGATCATGTGGTTGCTCAATCTATTTAGTGAACTTGGAGTACCATCTCAAGTACCTACTCTTTTTTGTGACAATATTGGCACAACCTACTTATGCTCCAATCCAGTTTTTCACTCTCGAATGAAACACATTGCTCTAGATTATCATTTCGTGCGACAAATGGTTCAACTTGGAAATATACTAGTCTCTCACATTTCTACAAAGGACCAACCGGCAGATATTCTAACAAAGCCTATGCATCGAACCAAATTTTCATTTCTCAGAGACAAACTTTGTGTCATTGATGGTGACCCAATTTTGAGGGGGCATAATAATAGATAAGAATAAGTTGTTCCAATAATTAAGTGTAACCAACCATTCCTATTACTATGCATATGAGTTGGTATAGTTTGAATTATTCATTGCTTAATATTAGGAATCACCAATAGGGTTTCCTTAGGATTAGGAATTAGTTATACACTCAAGTATTATTTGTATCTATAAATACTCAGCACTTATGGCTGGAATAATATATAAAAGAATCATTCCCTTTACCCCACAGACTTGCATCTCTAATAGCTCCAATGTATTACCTATCATCCTCGAGGAAACCCATTATAAAGCATCGTATTCTACTTCCCCCACCTTACGAATGTCTTCATAAGTCTTTGGCTCTCTTACACAAGTGAGCATCATCCTCAGATAAAACAACTCTCCCATTGTCGGAGGAACCCAAATTATACGGTCAATTGTAAAACCTTTTTTTCGTGGCTTCCATGCTCTATTCCTTTTGACGTAGACAAATTTGCTTACAAATTAAGCATAGGTTAAATGTTGTGCCTCAACAAAGTGTGAATTTTCAATCAACCATAAAGTGAACATAGATTCTGTTACACTTGTATTTTCCAAAATATTTCCCATCCGTTCGAAATCAGTATAATAGATAGGTTTCTCACCTATAAGATGGTAAAACATGCGCTTTACTGCA